CAGTCTGACTGTGGGCTCAGAAGCAGTGTGGTTGGGGGTGTGGGTGCTCCCCTCTGGCAGGTGGCTGGTTTGGCACCCGCATTCCTTGTGAATGAGTTGGGAGATCAGTGGGATCCGAATAGCTGGGATGGGGAGGAGGGCGAAGTTGAGGAGCGTGTGGTCTGTGAGATGCCAACAGCCTGCCCTGGGGAGGTGCTGGCCCAGCTCCTGATGGAGCCTGCGGGTGCTGGGCGAGTGCCAGCATTTAAAGCACTTTCTCCTCTTCCAGACCTGGACGGACACAGTGACCCAGAAGAATCATTTGCCAGGGATCTCCCTGACTTCCCTTCCATCAACCCAGAAGCAACTGGCATAGATGATGAAGACGACACCAGCATTGGGATCCCAAGCCTGGCATACCGCCCACAAGGGACAGAGGATCTGCATCTCCCATACGACCCGGAGGAGTCTGGCGCTCTGCCATCAGTGCAGAATCTCACCAACAACATCGCTGGCTTTGTCACCAGGGGGATGATCCAGCTGGCACTGTCAGGAGCCCCTCAGCCAGGCTCCTCACGCAGCACCAATCCCCAGAGAGGGGCAAAGACTCACCTCAGAGCAGTCAGCTCGGACTTGGACACTGATGCCGAAGGGGATGATTTTGAACTGCTGGATCAGTCTGAGCTGAACCAGCTGGATCCTGCTGGCTCCCGAGGCCAGTAAGCCATCCCATCACTTCCCTCTGGTTTTCTATTGCGCGTCACGGAGGGAATCCTGGAAGGAAAAGCCTTGCACAGTTCTCTCAATCGTCTCCTGTGAGTCTGAGTGACGTGACAGCCAGTCCTGGCTGGGAACATCACTGTGACTTGTGACTCTGTAGCCTCGCTTGGATTTTAAAATAAAGGACACTGGTAATCCCTAGGGAGAGACATTGATGGGATAGGTCCACAATCACCCTGTGCTGTCTGCCAGGATGCTGCCTGCTCCAAACTTCCTCACCTAAGACAATAAATGTGGTGTCTGCAGCTCTCGAGGCCAGTGGGACCGACGGCATTGCCAGGGACAATCGTGCACTGACCTCTGGGGCTGATGCACAACCAGGGGAACAGGATGAGGCCCTTCAGGCTTGGTGTCTGGGACTCAGTGCTGTTCTGTCTCAGACAGCCATTCCCCGCTCCTAAAACATTCACAAATCCAAGTCTTCTCTCCCAGCAATATCCAGCTCCAGGTGGAACCAACCCCCTTGCTCCACTGTGGACGTTGTGCAGCTGCAATGTTTTCCTTGCACTGGCCACTCCCTCGGCTCCAGCTCCTCGTGATGCTGGTTTTTAAGAGCTCAATGGCAATAAGACACCTGCTGTGACCACCAGAGTCCTGCAAGAATATCCACGTGTGGCCCCTGCTCTTGTGTTGCTTTCCTGAACTAACAGCCTTTCTTGAGAGCCAACTAACACTTTGCTAGAACTCCCTGTGCTCCTACCCTCGTGTTCCTGTGGGCAGGGCCGAGGTTTCCTGGAGGAGGGAGGCAGTGGGACAGGGGTGCCTGGGCAGCTGTGTGTCCCCCTGGCCCTATTGTGTCCAGCTTTGTGCAGGCAGAATCCACGGACAGGGGACACCAGCCCGGGCTGCCAGTGACTGAGGAGCTCGTGCCCACTGCGGTCCCGTGAACAAACCAGCAGCCCCCGGGGAGAGCCGCCCCTGCTGTGTCCGCCGAGCTCCCCCCCTTGCTTTTCCTAAGCCATAGAC